TTTTTTTTTTTTTTTTTTTTTCTCCAAAATCAGCAAAAGCTAGCGAACCATTTACAACTGGATTTCGCCTAATTGTCTTAGGCAGATGAGAGACTGGAAACTGGAAAGTTGAGCAAATGGTAAGGAAATTTCCGCCGTTCCTTTTCCGAGCGGAAAGAAAAGGACTTTCTCTGGAGGTAGTGTACAATTTCAGAACGGATTTTGCGGAAAATTACTATTTCTTTTCACTTTCAACTGAAATTTCCGGATTTTTTTTCTGCTAAATGGTGAGCACTCCTAATTTCCGAACGGATTTTCCGGGTAGTTTACTGTTCCACTTGACTTTTAACCGAAATGTCCGGATTTTTTGGTTAGTGGATAGCACCCGTATCGCCCAATAGGTGAGGTTTGGGGATGGGTGAAGGGGGGAAGGGGACGAATTGCTTGCTTGCGTGATGTCCCAACATTTCCACCTAGGATTGTAGATTACGCCAAGTCGCTTTTCGAGAAAGGGGTAACCAGCGAAGACCGGACTCGAGAGAGCGGATGGTATCGAGTCCAAAGCTGTGTTCACACTAGGCCGTTCACACTAGTCTGATCAGTTAGTTATGGAAATATCTTAACTGATAAGATGTTGTTTTTGAAAAACATTCTAGACTGTTCACAGCGTCTCGATTTTTCAAGGACGCGAAGGAGAAGCGAGTGTGAAGCAACAAGGGCGTGGGGGCTGGGAAGCGAGCGAAGCGCCGAGCTAAACGAAGAATATTTATCTCGGTCCCCAACACCTATCCCGTCAAGTCTTTCGTTAATTTTGCGCTTGCGTCCGGTTGCGCGTTAAACGATCGATCAGTCTGGAAATGTTAAAGTTCACTGCTTCTGAGTGTTTAATTTTACAATTTTATTTCATCGCAGGGTTTGTCCACAGCGACTCTTGTCCCCCGAAAGAAAAGCAATCTCCTGATAAGCTCAAAATGGATACAGCATTTTTAAACATATCTACCGATCTTAGTCAGCCTATAGAAATATCAGGCATTTCTTCAAACTGTTATAAGGTAGGTGAACATATCTCAGATGTCATCAACTTATCAGAAAGGATTTGCCAACCATAAAACTTAGACAAACGAGGCAAGCCGACTAGCTCTAAATCTCTCTTTCAGTTAAGCTGAAAAGCTGCGTACAGGGAGTTTTTTGATTAGTCTCTATCGGTGATTTCTGATGGAGCGTTTTGTTCTTTCGTGTTTACTAAACTTGGCCAGTGGGGATAAAAAATAAAACAAACTGGATAGAACCTGAATTAATAGTAGTTTATTTTCAGTTTCGTGTTAAGCAGCTTTTCGTAACGGGGCCCCTGAGTGGGTAATTTTTAACCTTTGTTTGGAAAGCCCAAGTAGTGATAAGGGGAAAAAGCACTTGAATAATTTCTGCGCATGGACATACTAAATAAAATAATGCATTAAAGTCCTATGGACCATAAAGTTTTCAATCTGGAGAACAAAACAATTTTATAGTTTGCTCAAGCATTGAAACTTCGTAAATGATTTAAAAAAGATTTTTTCTTGGAAAGTTTACTTTGTTTCCTGTGTCCTTCGTGATGAGTTTTATATTGTCCACGATCTTTTACTGCAGTCTATATGAACTCTCTATCATAATTAGCAGCAACCTTTGCGAATATGACGTCATAAAAAAAACCGGTCCTTTGGTCTTAAATGTTTTGATTTATTGCTTTTTCAGTGCCCCATACAACTAATTGAGCCCGGAGTCGTTACCAGTACTTCTGTCATCGTAAAAACTCATTACAGTTTTATCATCACCATAAAAATTGGATCTCAAGAATTGTGCAGGTTCGTCGCGAAATGTGCCCCGTTGTTACTTGATTTTATACGGTTTCAACATAAACAATTATGGCTTGAGTTAAACTATTATACAAAGTAATATTTTCTAGGATATAAGTCCCTACCTCATTATACAAACACACTTACAACTTGCAAACCTCCACTTTGCAGTGCATGACGAACTTCAGCTTCACAGACTCTCTTGGCGGTTAACTTACCTTTATTGACTCAAGTTGATAAATAGCTGTGTGCTTCCTAGGTTATGTTGCTAAACGATTTCAGCTTTGAAAAATAAAATCCAGTGCTAAGAGGACCTTAGCTATTTGCCTCAGTCATCTTTTTTCGTTTTTGTCATTGTAAACACCCGAAATATTCAGGAAGAGAATGTAATCCTGGACATAGCCTCAGTTATACATATATTTTTTTCGTGGATATGGGCTACGGCCCTGGCTCATAGACAACGTTTAGACGTTTCTGGGTTGAAAACAACAGCAACAACAACAACAATAATAATAATAATAATAATAATAATAATAATAATAATAATAATAATAAACAAGCACAACTCACTAAGATATTCAGTCCGAATAACTGTGTACCATCTTTTACAGACTGGATTATCTTTTTGGCGAGCGAGGCTGGTACCAGTATAAAGTTCAACAATCCAACCAATCGGAGTCAAACAATGTCAAGTGCGAACTGAAGGTCATCAGGTCACCTGACTATCCTTATATGCGTGAGCAGAGAAATTATTATCATTAACATTAAATGTTGTTTATCTTCAGAAACGAGATTGAGTTGAAAACAGAGAATCTTGTTTCTTTTCACTAATGTGTTTAAGATTATCTACAAAAACGGCGGATGCCTTTGTAATATTGTCAGTCAATTTTACGAGCTTTGAAAGTTTTATCACGAGCTGTGACAAAACTAAAACAATCTATAACCATTATATAATGTCCACAGCAGACGCCATATTTCCACTCGCGTTAAGTTTTCGTGGTGCAGTGGAACCCCATTAATCCGGTCACCAACGTGCCACAAAAATCTGGCCGTGTTAGCGGGGTTCCACTGTATAGGCTACTGAAGACGGCCTAATGTTGTCAATGCGATGTACTTGTTAGTTTAAATCAAATCTCAGCCATTAATTTAAAACCCTTTGTACGGTACAATTATTCTAGAATTTAGCTCCCTGTTTGTCTGTGAACGCCGCTGACAAACCATGGGAAAAAAAGTTCCAGTTGTTAATTTTATTTTTCCTGTTTTGCTTGTTGTTGTTTATGTTGATATTTCATTTTGGTTTGTTCGTTTTTGCTTTTGTTTTGTTTTGCTTTTTAGTTTTTTTTTTCTTTGTTGTTTTTGACTTTCTTTGTCTAAAAGATTTTCACTTGTTCCAACATAGACTACTTACATTCTTAAATGAACACCTAATAAATGATTTGATATTTTGTTCAGCTATATGGATAACCCTTGGGGTACTGTTCGGCATGGCTGTTATATGGGCTTTACTCACCTGCATCACAAGGTTCGNTCTTCTCTTCTCTTCTCTTCTCTTCTCTTCTCTTCTCTTCTCTTCTCTTCTCTTCTCTTCTCTTCTCTTCTCTTCTCTTCTCTTCTATCCCCTTTTTAAAAAATACCCTAGGCATAGTTAGTGGAGTCCCCTCCACTAACTGTGCCCTAGATTAGAATAACAGCCTATCTTTTCATATCCAGAACCAGCCAAAAGCCAAGAAAAGGCTGAAGTCTCTGGACACCTTCCGAGGGTAAGTTCAAGACATCAATAAACAAATAAAGGTCCATGGAAGCATTACTCTACAGCTTTCGTGGAAAAATACACGAACAAAGAGCCGAAGTGATGAAACTGGTAAGGAGATAACTCTGGGAGCGGAGAAATGTTGAACGTTTTACACCTGTTGATAAACTTCTTGTAATGTTAGTTTGAAGAAAATGGTAACAAACCAAGACTCTAGTGAGTCGTGTTATAAAGTCTTCGGATACTATTTTTAAAATCGCGTCGTGTTCTTATCGATTCTGAACGTGTGTAAAAGTCCTTTGGATGATATCTAGATTCAATTCAAAAAATTGTACATATTCTCATTTCTGGTCTTGTCTGTAGCATTGCCATAACGTTGATGATATTTGTAAACTATGGAGGCGGTGGATATTACTTCTTCGGCCACGCCGCATGGAATGGTAAGTACATAATAAATACGCTGACTTTGAAAAACGAGGAAACTAGATTAAATGTTTGGCCAGTGGATTTTGAGCACACTAACCTTGTTTGGAAAAAGAACCCCGAAATCTTAAAACAACAATAACAACATATATATTATAGTCCGAATGGTTCGATAGTTTGGTAGTGTAGAGAGGAGAAGTAGAGAGGTCTGTATCAAAGCAAGGTCACCTCCAGCCTCGCTCGCATTCATGGCCAGGTAACTAAGCACACAACTGTAAAATGGCCTTTTCTTTTCTTTTTCAACAGGTCTGCTGGTTGCCGATCTTGTCTTTCCATGGTATGANAAAAAAGAACGAGGCCAATATCCAGCCATCTTGACCGAACAAGCTTGGTCGATAAAAGATTTATTATATGGCTTTCGGGGAAATTTTTCTTGCGGGACGCGGCGGGTAGTCCAAAGCGGGCAAGATAGCTCCATCTTTCCCGCTCGGGTAGCCAATCACAGCGCAGGATTTGATTTATCTTGCCCGCTTACAGAGCTAGCCATATAATAAATAACATTACAGAGGGGGAAACAGAGAATTCAACACATGCAGCGTGTGACGTGTCCGAGCTAATAAAAATCGTATCAAAGTTAATAGAAAAGCAATGTGTAATCAAGATAGAAAAAAACTGCGCAGAGATGCCAAGAAAATTGCTCGTGAGGAAAGAAAGGGGCAAGAAAGAACTTATTTACTAACAGTGTTGACTTATTTACGTCTTATATAATTATTCTGCAGACGGTAATCTGGAATTCTATAGAATTCCAGGTGTTCTTCAGAGATTTGGAGTGTGTTACTTGTTTGTTGCCATGATGCAGTTGCTCCTCAGTCCGAACAATAACCGCGAAAAGAAGGTACATGTACTAGATAACTTCCACAGAGTCCGTTAAACTCAATGTTGAGGAATGGTCGAGATATGGGTAATGTAACGATGCAAGCAGTATTAGAACCAATCAAAAATAGTTTAAAAAGACCTCACGGCATGATTAACGGAAGCGTAAGGTAACATGGAGGGAAACCAGGGCGGTCGGACTACAAGTGGCGTACCGCTAACTCTCTTAAAACGCTCTTTACTCCTTCTACGAAATTCAGGTTTTTAGCTACACACAAAGAAAGCGAACTTTCCACATGCTACGGGAGAACCATCTTTTTAAGCGATCACGTCTTCCAATAAAGGCATACCCTTTCCCAACCAGTCTTGACCGTTTTATCTGCAGCAAGATAGGAAGAAAGGCCGATAGTGTGACTAACACTGCTACTCCAACTCTAGACGGTAACACCGATTGTGGGTAATCGGACATCTTTTGATAGTGCACCGTAATTGAACATGTCCGAGCCAAAGTTATGAAAGCGTCACAGAAATTGAACTAGGCTAGCTACTGTATAGTATTGTTGAATGGACGATGGGGAAGCCAGTAAAACGTTGGAGCGCGGAATAAAAGAGGGCTGTAGAGCTGAAGGTCTGTAATATTATGTAATTATAACGTCCATTAGTGTGTTTCGTACTGTTTGATTTTTAGGGACGCTGGTGGCATGTGTTCCGCGACGTGTATGGTTTGTGGAAACAGTGGATCTTTGCGTTGATGCTACTAGCTGGTTTTCTTGCTCTCACCTTTGCAGTTGATGTCCCTGGATGCCCAAAGTAAGCATTAGCTTGTTGATTATCAGGCTATAAAGCAACCACTATATTCTATATTTNGTACGAAAGTCAACAGCTTATATGATTAGTTCCAAGTGTACTTTAAATTGGTACAGTTAACATACAAAATGTACTGAAGATTTGCACGTCGACTTGCAAAGATAAGAAAACTACATTCATGTCACTAAATTCAGGTAGTTTTCTATTTGATTTTTAAGAGAATATTTTATGCAAACCATAGAAAAAACATTTGTTGGGAAAGATGAGGCTTCCTCTACAATCACAAGGGTTGATGAACAGAACTGAGATAAGTATGGGTTATTGACCAAGTGTGAGGTCAAGATGGCTGGATATTGGCCAAGTTCTTTTTTTGGTTGTTTATGGACCGAGACGGAGTCGAGGTCCACAAACTCGCAAAAAAAGAACGAGGCCAATATCCAGCCATCTTGACCGAACAAGCTTGGTCGATAAAAGATTTATTATATGGCTTTTGGGGAAATTTTTCTCGCGGGACGCGGCGGGTAGTCCCGAGCGGGCAAGATAGCTCCATCTTGCCTGCTCGGGTAGCCAATCAGAGCGCAGGATTTGATTTATCTTGCCCGCTCACGGGGCTAGCCATATAATAAATAACATTACAGAGGGGGAAACAGAGAATTCAACACGCGCAGCGTGTGACGTGTCCAAGCTAATAAAAATCGTATTAAAGTTAATAGAAAAGCAATGTGTAATCAAGATAGAAAAAAATTCGCATAGATGCCGAAAAAAATTGCTCGTGAGGAAAGAAAGGGGGAAGAAAGAACTCATTTACTAACAGTGTTGACTTATTTACGTATTATTCTACAGACGGTAATCTAGAATTCTATAGAATTCCAGGTGTTCTTCAGAGATTTGGAGTGTGTTACTTGTTTGTTGCCATGATGCAGTTGCTCCTCAGTCCGAACAATAACCGCGAAAAGAAGGTACATGTACTAGATAACTTCCACAGAGTCGGTTAAACTCAGTATTAGAAGCAGTCAAAAACAGTTTAAAAAGAACTCACGGCATGATTAACGGAAGCTAACGGAGGCGTAAGGTAACATGGCGTGAAGTGAGGTCAGAGAGGTCGGACTACAGGTGGCGTACTGCTAACAGTCTTGAAACGCTCTTTACTACTTTTACGTGTTTCACGTTTTAAGCTATACACAAAGAAAGCGAGCTTTCCACAGGCCTAGGCAACGGGAGAGACATCTTTTTAAGCGATCGTGTCTTTTAATAAAAGCATACTCTTTTTTAACCAGTATTGACTGTTTTATATGCAGCAAAATTGGGAGTCAAGACTGAAACTGTGACTAACACTTTAAAAGCAAACGAACTGCTCCCACTCTTGATGGTAGCACCGATCGCGGATAATCGGTCATCTTTGATAGCACACCGTGATTAAGCATCTCTGTGCCAATGTCATAGACATTTCACAGAAATTGAACAAGAATGTATAGCATTGTTTAATGGAGGATGGGGAGATAGTAACAGGTGCGAGTGCGGACTAAACGTAAGCTGTCGAATTTTTTATTTTTAGGGGCGCTGGTGGCATGTGTTCCGCGACGTGTATGGCTTATGGAAACAGTGGATCTTTGCGTTGATGCTACTTGCTGGTTTCCTTGCTCTCACCTTTGCAGTTGATGTACCTGGATGCCCGAAGTAAACATTAGCTTGTTGATTATCAGGCTAGAAAGCAACCACTATATTCTATATTTATGGAAGATTTCTCTTTTCCTTTTACAAATCTGCCTAAACAGACAGGTATCTCATTGTTCTTCCTCTTTGGACAAAAAAACATTCAAGAATACAGGCTACCCTAATTTTCATTTCCCGCTATATACAAAAGAAGAACTTTCATTTAACTGTCTGCTTCAATTTATTTGATTTTATTTATTTATTTATTTTTTTATTTTTTTTATGATGATGATGATGATGATGATGATTTTTTTGTTTATGTTTTTTTTTTTTTTTCTCTACCTTATTTTTACCTTTACCTTATTTCAGGGGCTATATGGGACCTGGCGGCCTGGGGGAAGGTTACCCAGAAGCGTTTAACTGCACTGGAGGAATGGCAGGTTATATCGATAGAATCGCCTTGGAGAAGCATATTTACAGGTGGCCTACAATTAAGGTAGAGATGTCCTTTCGAATGGCTTCACTGTAACTATTGGTGATAACCATTGTTTGACAGCACGCTGTATTTTGTTACACTTGCATTCTAAATTAATCTATCTGCGTTTATTATACTCTGACAGGATCTCTATAAGACTGTCCTTCCATTTGATCCTGAGGGAATCCTGGGATGTCTCACCTCCATCGTTCTAGTTTTCTTCGGTGTGCAGGTAAATCGCGTGTAACGAGATATTTTCTTATGGTGACTTAAAACCTCAACCTCTTGAGAAGTAATGAAATTTTAAAACTCTGAAGTTGATTAATTTTAACCCAAATTTCGTCATGCATGCATGTATGTGTACAAATGTGTATCAAACTGATTTCTATAGTTAGCCCAAATTGACATAGTGCTTTGGAGTAAACTCTGATTCACTTGACGAGTCTAATAGATATTCTCCTGACTACAACGTTTAAGTTTATGGCATCCATAAACTGATATTAATGAGACCTGAGAGACAATATCTCAAAGACAGGCACACACATTCTGCATTGTAACACTTCATTTCAGAGACATGTAACACTATGAACCTCTTGTCACGCTCATAGGTAAATCCCAGTAACATGAGTAACATGCCACCAATTCCTGATCTCAAAGTCCATCAGGGATTCCCAGTTGAAAACAATCACCCCCTTTAGATATCACAACAAACGTTTCATTTCCTAAATAAGGCCACTGTTATCTACATCTGTAAAAAACGGTGTATCAATGGTTCCAGTCATGTCTCTCACGTGTCCACCTCATGCCCTTGACCTCTAGTCAAGCACGGGCTCCTCATTGTATTTAGTCGTCTTGTTTGTGCCGATCCTTCGCCACTAATTTTTCTTTTTCCCTCCCTCCTGTGGGATATGGGCCTCACCCCTGGATGCAGGTCTGGAACTTTTATTCCAGGGTGGCTACCCCCGGTACCACCCGATCTGTACTCCCCCAGGAGGGCCCCCTTCCTGGGCCCCTACTTCCCAGTCGTCCTTCTCTGCCACCCAAATTTTACCCACAGCCAGTGTGTTATTTCCTAAATGTTGTATCGTTAGTGGCAGCTCAGACCAGGCCTCGAAAGAGGATCATGAGTTTATCTTTCCTTGTATTCTCCAGGCTGGTCACATTTTGACAATACATTCTAAGCACAAGCCCAGGCTCATAAGATGGATTATCTGGGCAGTTTTAATGGTAAGGGTAATCGATCATCTATATACTTTGGGATTAAAGAAAAAGCCAACGCTAAACAACATATTGAATTAAAATCTCTTTTTGTGTTCTTGAATACTTTAGACTGCGATCGCAGTTGGCTTGTGCGGAGCAACCAAGAATGAAGGCATCATACCAATCAACAAAAATTTGTGGTAAGAACGGTACAGTATGGGCGCATTATAGAGGTCAACATAATTTTTCTTGAATAAAGATTCATTTTAATGGTTAATGAATTATCATTACGTTATTTACACTACTAAATTGCGTTACGACGCTATCAGGCACACACACTTCAAGGAACTTGCCTCGCGCACAGCACGAAGGAGATCCTGCGCTGCTTTGTCATGCAGTCAGAATTTAGACCAAAATTGATCGTAGTTCGCTCGCACACTAACTTGCGCAGCTGGCGGGTTTTCGCGCGCGAATGCTTTTGTTTTGGCGGCGAAGCCGTGAACGCAAGCGACGAAGCCGCAAGTAGATTAATTGGTGAAGAATCGAGCTGAGTAAGTTAAAAAGAGTGACTTAAATGATTAGCTATTATTCAGTCAAATATGAGTATGATTGGTATTTCTTTTTTTTTAGCGGGCCGTTAAATTATGCTTAGAAGAGTTTAAACTGAAGAGAAAACTATCTTTTCCTTCCAACAGTTTTTGGTGACGAAATGATTTTGTTAGCCGGGATATGGCTGATAATAACGGATTGTTGATTAACAGTTTCCAAATAATGAATTTTCTTTTTAGGTCAGTGTCATTTATCTTTGCCACGGGAGCTTCTTCTTTCTTCCTGTTTGCCATTTGCTATTTTTTGACGGATGTCCTGGACTGGTGGAATGGTGCACCTTTTTTCTATCCAGGTAAGAATTCAGGATTAGTACTGTAGATGTGAGACCCTGAACTCAGCCGTCAATCGTAAGCATAGCTGGGCGCCATTCAGCTCAGTGTTAGGCCTGGACGTGACTCCGTTGACCAAACTAGAGGTTACAAGCCGGTGCATGAGAGAAGCGGGCTTACGAAAGGAGCTAGCTGCAGAACAGACTTCAGGCTCGTTTCTTTCACTGGCTCGTCTCATACCAGCTCGTTTTTCGCTCTTTTTAATCAACTTGAGCGAGTGGCGCTCTTTAAGGCGACCATGACTTTTAGATCCGCGTTTACTGCAAACGACAAACGGCTAGCGGTCACGTGCTCAGAGCCAGACGTCACATTTGAGGTTTTCGACTCACGTTTTGAACGTCAATAGGTGGGTTTTCACGTAAGTCATTTACCTCTGAATTTTATCTTATACCACGTACAAACGCGAAAATCGAATAAAGTAACACTTTTCCCACAAATTGGTTATAATTTTTAGGCAAATAAGCAATTACCTAGCCTTTTGTTGTTGTTCGTAGAAACTTACAGATCCTAAGTGAAGATCCAATATGACGGCGGCTTAAGTTGAATGTGTGTTTTACCATGCTGTATTTCCTTGGAAAGCTGCACGTGCTAGAAACTGCATAGTGTGTGTGTGTGTGTGTGTGTGTGTTTTTTTTTTGGCGTAACTTTGACAATTTCAAATGCATTGACAGGATGATTTATATTCGCTCCAGCTTACTCCAATCTAAATTGACCAACGTCCGAACGGCGAACGGCGAACGGCGAACGTCCAACCTCAAACCGCATTTAGACGTTTGCGGTGAACGTGGTGGATCTAAAGGTCTCTGTTAACTCGAAAATGAGCCGGGAATCTAAGCTAGTACAAGATTTGAATTTGGTGTTTTTCCTTAGGGATCGGGTCCCTTTGAGCTGGGCTATGTAACTGATTTGTGTGCATACATGCAAAGTCGAAATACCCTCTTCGCCGTTTAATTTTGCAACAACTTCGATAAAAGCTGTAGGAAGTCAACCAAGGGGCCTAGATACCAGTCGACGCGAATTTGATAGTGTATATGAATTGTCGTCCTAGGTATGAATTCCATTCTTCTGTACGTGGGCCATGGCATTCTGTGGAGACACTTTCCCTTCAGCTGGGAGATGGATGAATACGGCTCACATGGAGAGAAGTTAGCTATGAGCATGACCGGCACCGCTCTATGGGTTCTTATAGCATATTACCTCTTCACTGTAAACGTCTTCCTTAAGGTCTAAACATTAACGCCTCACAACGGTTACTATGTCGACGAAACTAGTGTCTCTTTGTCTCTCCAAATTAACAACACAAGAAGTTAGTTACCCGAGTCCTAGAGACTGGTTTTAAGATTCCCTTTGCCTAGCTGTGTTTGATAATCTGCCGCGAAGTTTCTTTTTTTCTTTTTTTCTATCTAGGAGTTGCATGGTATCAAAAACTTAATTTCCGGAAACTGACGACATTTAGGGAACTTAAGCCAACCACGACGGCAACGGCAACGAACACGTCACTAAACAAAAGATTTACTAAGCAGAACATTGGCTATGCACTTGCGTTATAAATCTTTGTGCATCTCGTAGCTTCCTCTGCAAAACAACCGTGAGTTTAAGAAAACCACGACGGCAACGGGAACATCGCTAAACAAAATGTTTAACGAGCAGAACAATGGCTGTGCATGTGCGTTATAATTCTTGGTACATTGGTACATAATCGGCGATGTCCTCGGCGTCGTGTCCTGGTTCCTTAAACTCCCTAGCATCGTGAAATGACCAAGTTCTGCGTATTTTGGAGAACGTAGGCCACGACGGCAAACTTTTTCTATTCTTTTTTGGAATTGATCGCTGGCATTACATATTTAGTTTGGGCAAGTTGTCAGATCGATTGGCGTACTGACCAGATTCAGATAGTTACGTTCGAAGTTAAGATATCAATCTATTTTTTACTAGGTATCGTCGCTGGGATCGCAGTCGTCCTTGCTTGAAGTCCCTCCTCCCTCCCACCCCCTCAACTATAGAAGACGGCGAACGTACGAGCGTGGTTTGAAAATCTTTTTTTTTTTTCCAGCATTGATCCTATTGTGTCTTTATTTTTTATATATATATTTAAAAGTTTCAGTGATGGCTCATTTTGATGAGTTTTGTGTTTTAGGTAAGGGGTTGCTTCATGCGACGCACGTTTCTTGGGGCCAACTTCAGTCCACCATCATTGCACCTTTTTTTTATTTCTATCAAAAACTACGACGAGTTATCATTTCTCAAATAAACTTGATATGGTACAAATATGCTGCGATGTTATCCTCAAGGAGATTAACACACAGGCATATGCTTTCTATGCGCAAAACAGAGCAGGTTTGCGAGGCGATAACCTTTTCGTTGTTGTTTTATTTTTTATGTTGTAGCCATTCTGGCTGCTTTGTATTATCGATTTGCCAATTTATAACGTTAATGTAATGGTCATCGTCGTTTAGGTACAAATGTGTGGATTTGTTAGCGGACAAATAAGGCAAGGAATATAATGATGCTTCTGCTATACCTTTAATAGTAGACGTTAATTTATATATTTTCTTTTGTCTTTAAATTAGGTCAGTTAAAAGAGCGAGAGCAATGTAACTATATTCTTTACTCAACGTCAATAGAACTCTTTTGTTTGTAAAAACTTGGCTGATCAGGATATGCTGCATTTTTGTTTTGTTTTTGTCAGTTAATAAAAGATTTTTTGTCAGTTAACAACAGCCTCTTTTGTCTAGGATAATACACAAGAGAAGAAAGTTGTGTAAAAGACGAGTCACTATCGCGCCATTATGTAACTTTGCCATCCGACCACTGTTTTTTCTTTCTTTTGTTGCCTCATGGGGAATTAATGTGACTTCTTTTGTTTAAGAGCATTAACTTTTGTTAATGTCTTTCACCTGGAGGAAAGTTTCAATTAGCCACGAAACCTTACTAAGTTTACCTGACTTCATGACTTGATATTTTGCTTTACATCGCCTTCTCACTTAATATCAAATGGTATGGCAAAGTGCGTGATCCACTTCTTGACGCTTTCATTTTTATGTTATTATTATCAATTTTATTTAGTTTTACGTTGATCTCATCTCCTGGTGTGCTTGTTAATCCAGTCTACATAAGTTGCTAGCTTAGTGTAAAATGTATATCGACCTTGGATGCCACACCCCTCCCCCCAGCTAACGAGGCCTACAGCAACCCATTTCCATGCGCCGCCCTGGAACATATTCATGACGAATGGACCTCCACTGTCGCCCGTACATGGACCGACGCCATGTTTATCGCCTCCCGCGCAGAAATTTAGAGACTCGTTAAAGTGGTAGTCAGTAGAGTTGCGGCACAGCTCTACGTCCTGAATTTTGAACTTAGCGTACTTTAACACCGTAGATGACGAGTTTTCAGAGTTTACGGTCTCTCCTGGGCTTAACACTTGTGTCGCTCCCCAGCCTCCAACAAACCCTTGACTTCCAGGGGTTACGCTATCGCAACATGTCGAGCTGTTGGCCGACTCTGGGAGACAAACTTTCCTTACATTCCGTGTAAGTGTCGCTTTGGTGGATAACTTGACCAAAGCAATGTCATTCTCTTTGAAGTGGTCATGGTATCCAGGGTGCATTATTATTTTAGTCGCGAAGAATGTACGCTCTGAGTCCTCTTCTATGTCGCGCATACTGTCGCCAACCATGATCTTATACCTGAAGAAGACAGCATAACAAAGAACACTAAAATATAAGAATAAATAACCCATTTACATAGACTATTTATTTACTTCTTGTTTACTCTTTCCTCTCTTATACTAATTTTATTTTTATCCTAATATGAACGTATCTAATTAAAGGGCATATACACTGTAATTAGTTCACTACATTTTGCCCTTTCCCCTCTCCTTTCACTGCACGTTATTTTAACACTTCTCTATTGAAATCGTCAATTGGAGTAAGAAAAACATAAGTAAATAAAAACATCCCTCAAATAGGGACTCAAAATTACAATTACGGTGCTGCACAAAAGTACGCACGTACATGTATAGTGGTTTTAGATATTTCAAACTTAACTCCACCACAGAAGTTTTCTGTGGCTTCATTGGTCAATATTAGTCACTGCTACAGGTGGCTAAGTAGTATAGCTCTGCTGAAGTTGGGAGGTGGTTAAGCTTTCTATTAAGCGAACAACCTGACTTACATTTCTGGTGGAGATGTAAGAGGGCGTCTGACTTGATCTTCTGTGTGTCTGTACATAAAGCAGTGTGCTGCAGTGATAATCCACTGTCGCTTAATCAGCGCTGCACCACAAAGAAACTGTTTTTCGCCTGGACGTGACACATGAAAAAGAATAACAACAATAACAGACCAACAAACCATCCCTGAAGGGCAACGCCCTCCGAGCAGTCTACTAGCCTGCCATGCAGATCGAGGATGGGAAAAATAATCCGGGATAATTCTGTTCTTTGTTTCTTGCTAGTCTCGCTCCGTCGGTGATTTATGGGAGAGGCAGAGGTTTCTACATTTTCACAGTAAATATTAAATAAGAAGGTAATCTCTCATGGCAAGTTCGCTTCTAGACCATTTTTTTGCATCGATTCTAAAACGGTTTTGATAACTGAACTACGTTGCATTAATTGGCTGAGAACGGAGTTAGAATCAGCGAAAGAAAGCGAACACTTTTATACACTTGTATGCGTTCGGATGTTTTGTGTAATCCTTACGATCCAAGAGAGAGGAGGTTGGGATTACATATTTAAAGTTCGAGTACTTTAAAATGCCTTCATTTCTATTTGATTATGAGAAACACATTTAATTAATCTTACCGGTCTTTTGATCAAGTCTATACAGTCCAGCTTGCCAGGGCCACATTCCATGAGTACTTGGAACACCACCAACCATTCGAGAAAGGCGAATTTTACTCCGCATACCGCACTCTGAATAATCTAAAAATAAGGGTTTCTTCAGTACTCCTTACTCATGTTAAGATCAAAGAGACAAGTCAAATGAGCGCTGGCCTGATGGACTATTTGGCCTGGATGCAGACCTAAGTTTCAAGAAAGAAGGTGGCCAAGTAAGAAACAAGAATTTAATGCGCTTGTGGGATATATATTTTCGATCTTTCATACATTCAAATTGGAAACGTTCGTTTACCTTTTACTTGCGAAGGGGGCAGGCACATAGGTTTCTTGTCACTCCAAACTCCATCAAAACAAATAATTCTTTTTGGTCCTTGAATCTTCAGAGATTCCATACAGCTGAATCTCACTTTTTTTCCATGTCTGAAGCTCTTTCCAATTCGTCGTCCACCAACTGGTTTCCCAGGATCACCACAAGGGGCTACACATGGAATCAGCAGAAAGAAATATTTAGTGACTAAGAATATCTATATACAGCTACTAAGAGAAGTAGCCATGTACAAAAATGATATGAATGATGGATGACGCTAAACTGGCGTTTGAAGAATTTTGTTTGAACTAGGCTTTGTTTTGTAAAATAAACTTTTGGCCACAACTTACATTCTCCGCCTGTTTTGCTTGAGGGACAAGATCACTAGATTCCCAATAATAATAATAACAATAATAATAATAATAATAATAATAATAGTTATTATTATTGTTATCATTATTTTTATTATTATAGTGGAATGTGTGAAGATTTGTAAATAGGTTTTCTAAGGAGATTTCAATAAAGTTCTTGTTAT